CTCATTGTGCGAATAGCCAGCGGCGTCAGTAAGTGGGTAGAGTTTCATGGTTCAATAAAATATGAGGTAGAAGGTGAGAAGTAGCAACCATTTTATTTCATCCTAATTACATGTATTCCAGCAGATGCGATACCAACCCATCAGAATCTACGAGCTTTCGGTAGTTTACCAGTGCCCACACCCATTGATCAGTGTTTTAAGCAACCCTCCACATTTGGCGCGAAAGTTTCGTTCCGTCACGCTACTCGCGGTATTGTTCGTTTTTTGGTTTTATTGTCTCGTCACTGACAGTGTTATGAAGAATGGCCCTGGCAAAGATAATAAAACCAGATAACAAACCGGTCACACCCCTTGAGGAGGAAATTGCGCAGGTACCCTTTTTTCAGATACGTATATTTTGTAGGCAATTACCGACCTACAAGTTCATGATGAATGGTCGGACGCGATGAAGCTTCTTTATTTTTGTGAGGCCAAGGTAGTTGTCCTTCACGCTTTATAACTCCTTAGGAAATGATGATTGGGCGTGAGAAGGCGATCGTCATCTACGTCCCTGTGCCTCAGTTGCGCACTTATCAGATGATTCATAACCGATTAGTTGGAGAGCTTGAAAAGAAGTTACGTGGTCCCCATGTTGTTCTCGTAGCCTTTCGCCGCATCCTTCCAAAACCAAAAAGGAAGTCTAAGTTCAACCCCAAGCAGAAGCGACCTCGAAGCCGAACACTGACGTCTGTCCATGATGCCATTCTCAAGGACCTGGTTTATCCTGCGGAAATTGTGGGGAAGCGCACACAAGTCCGATGTGATGGGAGCACACTCATTAAGTGCCACTTGGACGTGGCCCAGAGAAATTATATTGAGCACAAAGTAAGTGCATCTTATCTTAGCTTACCCACTTAGTTGAAGACAATTACAGGTTTGTACAAGAAGCTGACGGGCAAGGATGTACAGATCGAGTTCCCCGATTGGGTTTTGTGAGCTATGAAATTATATGCCTTTGCGGAACAGGTGTTTCTTCTTGGTAAGCTTCCGTCAGATTTCTTGGTCTAGTTCGAACGTATTTTCACTTGGGTTGTCCAAAACGAGGCCGATGGGTGAAGCGCACATTAGTAGATTCTTAACTGGCGTCGGGCGTGAGCTGTAAATATCTCTTAACATGGGCTATTTTGTTCCGATCGAATACCTCGCCTTGGGCATCGTGGTAGATCGATTTTTACGCTTGTTCAGCCCCATTATTGGAAATGGCTGTGAGGCTTGGCCTACTCGAGCACCGGACTCGAGACGTCTTCAGGTGTTCGACAATCGTTGTCTCAGAACCATAGCTCGCGTGGGTTGGTGTCGGCGAATCCGTAACGAGGCAGTTAGAAAGCGTGTTTTCGGTTGTGTAACGGGTACTTCC